ATCGAACCCAGGCCCCCTGCATGAGAAGCGTGGAGTCTTAGCCACTGGTGCGTGGATTCCTCTCTACAGGGGGACCCCTTTCTGGCTCCTAGGAAAGCACTTCGAATTCCCAAAGCCAGAACCATCTCTCCCCCTCCCCCTGGCTCCCAGGCAGGAAACTCCCTTTATTCTCTCTCCCTTCTATGTCACACACACTCACACACACACACCCCAGCCTGTCCCTTACACAGCTGACTGCCTTGACAACCCACCCTCCCACCGTCATCCTCAGTCACAGCCGGCAGCTTTGGGAGCCAGGTCCTCTCTCTCATCCTGAACTTCCTAAACTAGTCCCCCTGACTCAGCGCTTACCTCTCCAACCCAACCCCTTCTAGAATTCTATTTATACAGCACAATCTGATCACAGCTCTCGCATGTTTCAAACCTCCAGTGGTTTCCTAGCAGCCTGCAAGGCAAGGTTCAGCCCCCGGGAGGTGGCACTGAAGCCTGGGCCCAATTCTCTCTATCTTCAGCTTCCCACACTGCTGCAAACCTGTCTCCCCATCAGACCGAGCTCCTTCATTACCTTTTCTCATTATTTCAGCCTCCTGCAAAGCCTTAACCTATCTTCTCTGCCCAGGAAATACCTCCTCATCCCTTAATACCCAGCTCCAATAAGACCGTGAGGAGGGACTTCCCTGGCAGCCCAGTGCTGCCGATGCAGGGGACGCAGGATCGATCCCTGGTTGCGGAGCTTAGGATCTCAATATCTCATAGGCCAAAAGCAAAAGAGAGCCTAAGCAGAGCTAGGGGCCCCCTTCATCCAGCATGCAAAAAAACCGTTCTCTGGAATGGTACTTTTCCACTCTCTGCCTGGAAACTTTCTGCAATCAGAGGTCCAGTCTCTATCCACCCACCCTCCTTGGTTCCCAAGGACTCCTGGTATCCAGCACACTGGAGATTCTTGATAAATGTTAATTAACTGAGTAAACTGAATGACCATCATTGGCTCTGTGCTGCCCTATAAAGCTGGTATTTTTTTATAGTCTCTTTACTTTGCCATTATCCAGTACATTTAAAATATTGAATTCCGGGCATTACATGGGACTCACACATCAGTAATGTTCCACAGACTCTTCTGATGTAAACTCACTTGGGCTGGCAGGTTGAAACTCAGGACTGCGGAGCCCTATCTCTGATAGGCCCCATCATAAAAACCTCTGATGGTTTTACCCAGCTGCTGTCTGCTGGCAGAAATACTTCCCATTCAGCCTCCCCTGGCCCTTCCCACCACTGCCCACCTAGGGCAACTTCCCAAGGCACCCTCTCCAGGCAGGCAGTGGCTTCTAGACCCCTAAAGAAACCCCCAGACTTCCCACCCAGGAACCTTCTCTTCCAGGAGGGTCCCCACTAAAGCCCCAAGGCAGTCTGAGCTGCTGTCCTAGGTAAGACTGAATCAGAAAATGCAGTGTCAGACTTGGTTCAGGCCAAGGAGGAAAGGGTCCCTTGACCTCGCCTCTGCTCCACGTTTCAAAGAAACCAGATCTACCCATTTGCCTGTCCCCAGGGACTGTCACCTTCAGTGTGAGTCCTTCATTTTCTGCTTGGCCATGCTCAGAGATGATAATCCTGGTTAAAACAAAATGAATGCATTCTTCCCGTGATCTGGGCCCCAGACAGGGATCCAGCCCATTCCTCTGTCCCAGACAAGGCTATACTATGAACTGCTATGTAAAGCAGCCATTTAGAAGATCCGTAAAGAAAACGTCTTGGAAAGCAGAGTATGAGATTTGGCCAGTCGTCAGGTTACTTCTCAAGGGAACCCTCACCTTAGATTCCTCCAAGCCCCACTAAGACAGACCCCCAACTCCACGTGATAGCACTTGTCACCGTTGTTATTGAGATGATTATTTGATTGTCGTCTTGTGTCTCACACACTCAAAGACCCAATATTATTTACTGAATAAATGACTGTCTTTTGGAACATGGGCACTGTGTGACCTTGATTTCTCTTTAACTGCTGCTCCCCTAGGGCGCAGCTGGGGCCCCAATTAGCTACAAGCCATCCATCCTAAATCTGCCAATACCATTCTATTGTTCCCCTGTCAGCATGCCTTTGGCTTTCTCACTTTAATCTCCCAATTCAAATAAATCCAAAACTCGGCTCTGACATCTGTGGCTGGGCTCCCTGCCTTTCCACGAATGGAATTTGGAAACTGGACTTAAAACTCAGGAGGAAAAAAACGGGCAGAGGCACTTTCAAAAGGCTGCCTGTACGTCCAAAGTCTCGGCCGTCACCACCCCAGAGATGGATGCATTTTGTTCTAAGAATTAAAGTGTCACCTAGTGTGGCCATTTATTGAAGGAATGGAAAAGGAACAGGGTGGGGGAGACAGACTGATTCTAGAGCAAATTTCTGGCTTCTTCCTGTTACGGGAATGGCAGATTTTCCTAAGAATGACAGCCGCATCTCCTCTTCAGCCTGGCACTCCGAGGTGGGGCCAAGCGTGTTGCTGGTGCAGCCAGCTAGTAGTTTACGGGTTAATCTTCCCACTAGATGCTGTGTCGTTCCTGATCACATCCAGGAACCACATCCAGTTGATCATCTGTCATAGCTAGCCCCAAGCCCCGCTGGACTGAGAGCTCAGAGAAGGAAGGTAGGAAATGAGCGAAGGACATAGGAAGAGTCAGTGATGCCTTTCAGCAACTGTCAGAAAGCCTCCAGAGCTCCACAATGTATAATTTCTTACTGTGGGCCCAGAGGCATGAAGCACTCGATACATATTATCTCAATCCTCACAACAACCCAGAGAGGCAGGTATTATTATGATTACTCCTATTTGAGAGATGATGAAAAAGCCCAAGAGAAGTTAAGCAATTTGCCCAAGGTCACTCTGCTAGAAAGTACCAAAAAGTGAAGTCAAACTGTTTGTCGCCCAGTCGTGTCTGACTCTTTCTGATCCCAGCGAACACAGAACACAGGACTCCAGGCTCCTCTGCCCATGGGATTCTCCAGGCAAGAATACTGCAGTGGGCTGCCATTTCCTTCTCCAGGGGATCTTCCCTAAACCAGGGATCGAACCCAGGTCTCCTGCACTGCAGGCAGATTCTTTTCTGTTGAGCCACCAGTGGCTTAAATAGAAAAGTACCAGAACTGAGATTTGAATCTGGGAACCACCCCCCAACCCCACCAGGGGATACTTCAACCAAGACATGACAGAAAGTGATCTGAAGAGGTGCATCCTTGGTCCTGAGCCCTCTGAGACAATACCTCCCGGAGAGAGAGACCAAGTCAATTAATGACAATGCAAAATGAAGATGTCAAGTTCTCTCAAAACATCTTCAGACTCCCAGGGTTGGCCCAGTGAGTCAACTTTTAATTGCAGCAACATGAGAAAACAAATGAGGGGAGATAATAACTGGAACCAGAAGGTGGGACAGCAGAGTAGGCACAAGAGAAAGCTAGTTTTCAGTTCTTGTCATCTCTTCACGCTAACGGGGTATTTAGCTTTCAGGCTGCAGTCACGGGTAGAAATATGTTCCCCCCTCAAATCCTGAAGAAAACAAATTAAGAATCATGTTATATATTTACATAACACACACGTTTATACCCTTAGCACAGCAAATACTGAAAGTGAATCCTTGCTACTTTATGGTCCCTTTGGAGGTAGGTCAGTTTAGGTAGGGACACCCCAACAAAGACGAAAGTGGTCAGAGAAAACGATTAAGGGAAAACAAATACAATGGATGACACACAGGGACTTACAAACAAAAGAAGAAAAGGAAGAGGCAGACATAGAAACTAAGGGAAAGGAGGCCAGAGGTTAAGGAGGTTTGGTAGCTGGTTTCTGCCTGGGAGAGCAACAGCCTTAGTGATTTCCAGACCTCAGACATGAGTGGGGTGGGCTGCCTAGAAAAATCTGGGAAATGGGGATATGCAGGCATATTATTTGCTTATTCTTATTAGATTCCCTATTCTGAAAATTCTGATTCTATAGGCCTTTAGCTGGGCCAGGAATTCTTAAGACAATCAAGGTAGAGAATCCCTAGGGACAGTCTCACTTTTGAGGATACCTATTACCTATGTATGGTTTTTCCAGTAGTCAGTATGGATGTTGAGAGCTGGACCATGAAGAAGGCTGAGCACTGAAGAATTGCTTTCAAAGTGTGGTACTAGAGAACACTCTTGAGAGTCCCTTGGACAGCAAGGAGATCAAATTCAATGGAAGCACTGATGCTGAAGCTGAAGCTCCAATCCTTTGGCTACCTGATGCAAAGAGCTGAGTTGCTGGAAAAGACCCTGATGCTGGGAAAGACTGAGGGCAAGAGATGGTTGGATGGCACCCTGACTCAATGGGTGGGAGCTTGAGCAAACTCAGGGAGATTGTGAAACACAGGGAAGCCTGGAATGCGGCAGTCCATGGGGTTGCAAAGAGTCAGACATAACTGAGCAACTCAACAACAGTGATCTATGTCAGCTAGGCTGTTGTGCACAGGTCTTCATCATCCAGAGTTCTACTGTGAATGTAAGTCACAGTCCACTTCTGTGGAGCTACTGGACAGCAAGGGCAGCCTAAGCAATTTCTCCATGCATCATACACGCCTCCTGGCACTCCTCAAACATTTCCTCCTCGTTCATACCTCCATGGCTGTGCAAACACTGTGTCCCCCGGCGTGTTTCTTTCTGCATGTCACTTCCCAGTCCTATCTCCAAAACGCCTACCCTTCTTTCTGTATCGCTCTAAGGACTTTAGACTCTTTCTACCTTGTACTCTGGATATTGACATAGATGCCTTAATCACTCCTATTTGAGGATATGCTCTTAGGGGCCATATTATAACTTATCTTTTTCTCCCAAAGGTCTTATCATCTGTTGAATGATGATTACCCAGGGAAATAAAATCAAGGTTGAATTTCAGCCCCAGGCCAGAAGTTCCTCTTCACTATCTCAAAAAAGGAATCGAAATTTTCCTGACTCAGGCAGGATATGTTCTGCCCCAGGTACTCCCACCCAGAACACCATGGGAAAACAAACCAAATCATTAGGTAGGTCAATATTTCGTATAACAAAATTCACATCAGCTAAAATAAAGCCACTTTCTTCTGCCCAACTGATCTCAACCACTGCTCACACCCAGGGGACTCTGAGCCTCAGTGGCACCCATGTGGCTTCCCTGGGGGCTCAGTGGTAAAGAATCTACCTGCCAAGCAGGAGACATGAGTTCTATCCCTGGGTTGCGAAGATCCCCTGGAGAAGGAAATGGCCACCCACTCCAGTATTCTGGCCTGGGAAATCCCACGAAAACAGAGGAGCCTGGCGGGCGACAGCCCATGGGGTGGCAAAGAGTCAGACACGACTTAGCGAGTAAACAGCATCCGGCACCCATCTGCCATCTGGATAGCAAGCCTTCCTTTCGTGGCAAGAAACAGCCAAGGGAACTCCAGACACTAGAGGCTAATTTCATCCTGAGCAGTGACTCTTATTTCAGCTAAAACCCACTAAATCTGGACAGACTGCATTCCCAAGACCACGGGGAGGCCTGACTGCCCTGGAACACAGGAGACCGGAGAGGTCGGTGACCCGGCCAGGAAACAGGGATTCAGGTGGCAGAGCCACACCTCACTGGCAGATGCTTAGTCCCATTCCAAGAGAGAAGGGAGGCCTGGCCTAGCACTGAGACATTATGAGTTCTTCAGAGTTTAAGTCAGGAGTTGGTACTCCTCCAGAATGCACAGGAGTTTTAAGAGCCCTGGATCTGAGAAATAAAAGATACAGTTTACAGTCTATGCTGTGCCCTACTTAGTTCTGTGCATTAATAAGCAAGTTCTTATTGCCTATTTGAGCCTCAACATTTATGTCTCTAAAATGTAACACCTAAAATGGATTTGAATGCCCAATCCAGCAAATATCTAAATAATACAGAGTTATAAACCATTAGCTCGAAAGCAGGAAAAATAAAAGGATAAAGTTACCACTGGAAAAAATTGGGATACAAAGCCCGACAGTTATTAAAGTCAAGCCACAAATTTGTTTCTCTGCTTCCTGGCAGCCAAAGCAAAAAGAGAAATATGATCAGTTACACCCAATTGTCCACAAAGGAAAATCATGCCAGTTCCTTGGGAGAGGCAAAGCTTTTCCTGGCATCAGACTCTGAAAGAAAATTTCTCCAATTAGCAGACATTAAATGAGGCTGCAGCTTGAGTCTTCAACAATGTAAACTCTTATAAGAAATATAGTAGCAAGTTACATAAAGCTACTTTGGAGAGCATCAGTCCATAAAGCAAGGGGCAGGACACCCAAGTTCATCTCAGTGAAAGTAATTCTGGAGGGGCTGAGCTAACATGGCCCAAGCATGCAGCTTTCATTGGCCCAACTTAAATCAAGGATAAAACTAAGACCAGGTAGACAACTTGTTCTTCCAAACACTTCTATAAATATTACTTCTTCCACATGGATGTTTATTAAGAGTTGGATAGCAATTTCCAATTAGATGACTTCTACATTCCATTCCAGTTCTGATAAATCTAAGTGACCTTTTTGGTCTTCATTTACTTACATTAATGTAAAATTTGGTAGTTTTCCCTGTCTTACTGCACTCCCAAATCAATGGAAATTCCTGCCAGTGAGAGAGAGAGAGAATCTATTAACATTACTCTTGCTTTTAATAGCTAATACCAAGAGCTCATGTGCCAGGCCCGGGACCTGGATTCCTGTACATTCTCTCATTTAATCCTCCCATCAACCTTGTGTGATAGTAACTATTATTAGTCTCATCTAACAAATAAGGAGCAGAGACTCAGAGAAAATGTCCAAGGTCACAGAGCTTTCTAGTTCCAAAGTCAAGATTCTTAGCTCTACTTATAGTGCCTAGTATTAATGAAACATGATTACTATGTTTGTCAGAACAATGAGGCCTAGAGTGAGGCTAGTAGAGCAGGCAAGAGTTATTATAACAACAAAAAAATAATCGTGGAGATTTTAGAGACTTTGGCAACCTATAAAAAGAATAAAAGGATGAAAAATTTGTGAGAAGCAGAAATCTCAGAAGAAAGTAATTCCACAGGAGCAGAAAATCTCAGGAAAAGGAAGAGAAAACTTCTTTTCCTCCTCTTCTCTTGAAAACAAAATATTATAAAATAGACAATTAATGAAAACCTACTATACGGCCCAGGGAACTCTGTTCAATGCCCCGTGATGACCTAAATGGGAAGGAAATCCAAAAAAGAGGGGAGGGATGTGTTATCTACACGCACCTGCTTCACTGTGCTGCACGGCAGAAATTAACACAACATTGTAAAGCAACTGCACTCCAGGAAAACTCACTCAAACCCATGTCCATTGAGTAGTGATGCCACCCAACCAACTTAGCCTCTGTCGTCCCCTTCTCCTCCTGCCCTCAATCTTTCCCAGCATCAGGGTCTTTTCCAGTTTCAGTTCTTCCCATTAAGTGGCCAAAGAATTAGAGCTTCAGCTTCAGCATCAGTCTTTCCAATGAACACCCAGGACTGATCTCCTTTAGGATGGACTGGTTGGATCTCTTTGCAGTCCAAGGGACTCTCAAGAGTCTTCTCCAACATCACAGTTCAAAAGCATCAATTCTGCGGTGCTCAGCTTTCTTTATGGTCCAACCATCACATCCATACATGACTACTGGAAAAACCATAGCTTTGACTAGATGGACTTTTGTTGGCAACGTACGTTATATCTCTGCTTTTTAACATGCTGTCTAGGTTGGTCTTAACTTTTCTTCCAAGGAGCAAGTGTCTGTTAATTTCATGGCTGCAGTCACCATCTCCAGTGATTTTGGAACACCCAAAAAATAAAGTCTGTCACTGTTTCCATTGTTTCCCCATCTATTTGCAGTGAAGTGATGGGACCAGATGCCATGATCTTAGTTTTCTGAATGTTGAGTTTTAAGGCAACTTTTTCACTTTCCTGTTTCACTTTCATCAAGAGGCTCTTTAGTTCTTCTTCACTTTCTGCCATAAGGGTGGTGTCATCTGCATATCTGAGGTTATTGATATTTCTCCTGACAATCTTGATTCATGCTTGTGCTTCATCCAGCCCAGCATTTCTCATGATGTACTCTGAATAGAAGTTAAATAAGCAGGGTGTCAACATATAGCCTTGACGTACTCCTTTTCCTATTTGGAACCAGTCTGTTGTTCCATGTCCAGTTCTAACTGTTGCTTCCTGACCTGCATACAGGTTTCTCAAGAGGCAGGTCAGGTGGTCTGGTATTCCCATCTCTTGAAGAATTTTCCACAGTTTATTGTGATTCACACAGTCAAAGGCTTTGGCGTAGTCAATAAAGCAGACGTTTTTCTAGAACTCCCTTGCTTTTTCAATGATCCAGCGTATGTTGGCAATTTGATCTCTGGTTCCTCTGCCTTTTCTAAATCCAGCTTGAAAGTTCACGGTTCACATACTGTTGAGGCCTGGCTTGGAAAATTTTGAGCATTACTTTGCTAGCATGTGAGATGAGTGCAACTGTGTGGTAGTTTGAGCATTCTTTGACATTGCCTTTCTTTGGGATTGGAATGAAAACTGACCTTTCCAGTCCTGTGGCCACTGCTGAGTTCTCCAAAGTTGCTGGCATGTTGAGTGCAGCACTTTCACAGCATCATCTTTTAGGATTTGAAATAGCTCAACTGGAATTCCAACACCTCCACTAGCTTTGTTCACAGTTCCTACTCTTAAAAGACTCTAAACTTTGGCTCTCTTGGTTATTCACTCATTCATTCATTCCAGCAGCAACTAGGTATTTACCCTATGCTACTCCCTGCCAGGCACTGTCAGCAGTGAGCAAGACAGAGGAGCTTCCAATCCAGCCATCAAGTAGACAATACATTTCCAGATGGTATTAAAGTGCTTCGGAAAAAAAAAATTAAGGGGATTAAGAGAGGCTGAGGGGCAGGGAAGGAGGACTGTTCTAGATAACAGGTCAGGGAGGGGCTCTCTGAGAAGCAAGTGAGGGAACCCAATCATGCAAAAATTTGGAGACCGGGCACCAGCAGAAAGGCCCCATGACATAAACAAATCTTACATGTTTTAGAAACTTCTGGAAGGCCACTGCAGTAGACTGAAGCCAGCCTGAAGCAGAATAGACCAAGTGAAGGCCGGCAGGGAATGAGGTGGGAGAAGATGGAGACGGGGCTACAGGGAAAGGAGGTGGACTCCTTCTGAAGGGCAACGGGAGGGGCATAACCCTAGTGTAAAACCTCCAGGGCTGTGGTCAGAGCTCCAAGAAACATTCAGAGAGATGTAGTATCACCAAACTAAAAACTCTTAAGGAAATCCCTTTAGCCTGTAGGCCCTGGTTTTCCATTGTTTGTTGTTGTTTAGTCCCTAAGTCTTCTGCAACCCCATGGACTGTAGCCCGCTAGGCTCCTCTGTCCATGGCATTCTCCAGGCAAGAATACTGGAGTGGGTTGCCATTTCCTTCTCCAGGGGATCTTCCTGACCCAGGGATTGAACCGGCATCTCCTGCATTGCAGGCGAATTCTTTACCACTGAGCTGCCAGGGAAACCTGCTTTCCATCACTAGATGCTAAAAGTAAAAAAGAGAGTTCCTTTTCCAGAGCTTTATACTCCCTCATCATGAAGGGAATGCAATTCTCAGAGCAACTGGTGGTTTGGTTGACAGACTCTAGGGAAATGCCAAGATAATTTACAAAGAAAACTGATCCAGACCTCTATTTGAATCCCACCTGCTCTTCCCATCCTAGAATATCGTATCCTTGGCCATTCTTTTGTTGTCTTCTTTTCTATTCCAGAGGCTCAAAACTCAACACTCTCCATGTGAGCTGCTAGACCAAACTGAATATTATTGAAGTTAATTTCAACAATCCCACTGTTAGCCTTCCCAAATAAGGCATACCCTTGGCAGGAAGGACCACAGAAGGATGAATTTGAATTCGAATCTTTTCTGAAGCTAAACTGCAGCTTTGATTAATTCGAAGAAACTTCTTTTATCAACGTGTTTGGACACAAGAATAAGAGGGAAACATCCAACATGTGGAAGCAGCAGGTGTGTGTTTCTGCTTGAAAGTAGAGACGGGTAAAGAGAAGTGAAAGTGTTAGTCGCTCAGTCGTGTCCGAGTCTTTGTGATCCCATGGACTGCAGCCCACCAGGCTCCTCTGTCCATGGGATTTTCCAGGCAAGGATACTGGGGTGGTTTGCCATTTCCTTCTCCAGGATCCAACCCCAGTCTCCTGCATTGCAGGCAGATTCTTTACCTGAGCTACCAGGGAACAGGTAACAGCATCAGAAAACGGGTGACTAATCAAGATCCAACTGCACACAAGAGCCGAGCCATCACCCAGGAAAGAAGCTGGGCTGAGGTCGGCGAGGGGGCATGGAAACTTGTTGTCACTTCTTATTAACAGACAAACCCCTGGCTCCCCTCCCCACTCCCAACAAAAATAAAATCACCAGTATGCCCTTCCTCCCAGATACTAAACAAAATCAACCTTTCCTGCTGGCCAGACTGTTAATGTCCCAGGCACAATGACTGTTATCCTCAACTCAAAATCATTAAAACACTGAAAATTCACCTACATCTGGGAATAATGCAGCAGGTTCGACAGCACTACTCATGACCCCAACCCCACACACCTAGAAACATCCAGTCGTGCAGAATAGTGAACAGCAGCCCTCAAATGGACTGGAGCAGGGTGCTGTGGGGAGTAACAGGGCCCATGCCTATCTCTCAGGGCCAGTGCTTCAAGGCAGTTGAAAGCAAACACTATACCCTTAGACGTTTCAAAGCCTGGGCCTGCGACAGATCAGCAGTCCTGGGTTTGTATACAGTGTGGGTCATATAATCTGACCAAGGCTTTGCATATCATTGTTCATTGCCCCCAATTCCCACTAGTTCAGCATTTCTTATCAACCATCTGTCTCACAACCTCATGGCCCACTTATTAAAAATGTCCCTCACTGACAATAAACATCTCCGGACTGGACTTACAAACTACAGTGTTTAAACACTACCCAGGTCGTCTTTATGCACATTTAAGTCTGAGAACTTCAGCAATGTTTCTGCAAACTGTGGGCCATGAGTCATGACCAGCAGTTGATTTTTTTTTTTAATTAAGTAGGAAAAAATTATAAATAGAACACACTGCAGGTAGTCAGGGCAATTATTGTTTCTGGGAACTTAAGCGGTTGTGGACCTCTGTGCAGTGATGTAAAATGTATTCATCACTGTGGTTCAGTTCGAAAACCACTCTCCTAGAGGGATGAAGGAATATTTTTACGGAATATTTTATGTTATTCCTATGCATGGCGTTTATTTACCATTTTTCACCCCTAATTCCGAGCTTCTGGATTTTAGTTCAAGCACAAGTTACCAAGACACAAAGGCTGTTATCAAATCCTAAACTGATGAGGCAATGCCAAACTGAATAGGGGGGTCAGCCCAAGGCTCCTTCCTGCCCCAGATCCTTCTCAAGGAGCTGGGGATACAGAAAGGTGCCAAAGGGAAGTTTGTACAACTCTCCCCAGGCTGGACTGGTTCCTTGGTAAAGAACTTGCACACTCATTATCATACATTAGAAGAATTGAAATATTCCCTTATGAGGGGGTAGGACGCCAGGGGCGAGGGAGGCTCAGTCTCAGTCTAAGGACTAAAGAGAACTCAGGTTCAATCCATCAGTGCAGTCCTGGGGCAGTGACTAGGTCAAAGGAAAGTCAGGGAAGGGTGAATCCAGGCCCACTGACCACCAGGCCCTGAGCTCTCAGAATCAGGACAGCACTGGACAGCATCGGGCATGTGAAGTCACGTCTCACCTCAGAACCAGTGACATCGGTTGCCTTGGGCAAGTCACTTAGTTTTTCAGCCCCCTAGGTTCCTTGTATAGCCAATGTTCTGGGAGCAAGTGGAACACAAGGAATCAGACAGTGTCCCTTCGTGCCCAATGCTCTAGGACAGGCAGCCCCATCTTGCCCGACCAGAAGAGAGGAACATGGGAGGAAGAGCTAGGGGGGAGAAGGAATAGCTGGGACTTCTCTGGTAGTCCAGGGGTTAAGGCTCCAGCTGCCATTGCAAGGGGCGTGGGTTCCATCCCCGATGGGGGAACTAAGATCCCGCCTGCCAGCAGGATGTGGCCAAAAAGAAAAAAAAAAAAAAAAAAGAGTAGCTAGCTGTCTTTTCAGCTTTTAGACTCATCAGAAGCAACGACTTACTGAAAACAGCCTGAAGACTCGAGGAGAGCAACCGACAAGGAGGCCAGAGCTCAAAAACCAAACAAAAAAAACCCCCCAGCGAAGCCCAGGAGCGGTTTCCCCGTGCCATTCAAAGCCGCGGGACCGCGGGCGGGTCAGCTACATCACACAGAAAACCCGAAGGCGCTCACTCCCGAGGCTTTAGAAGCTCTCGTAAGCCGAGAGTGAAGTCAGAGGTGGCAGGCTCCTGGGCCGGGTCCAAAAGAACAGGTGGTTCCCCTCCCCCGCCCACCCTCGCCAACGAGGGAAAAGTCACCACTTGGGGTAAAGATCCCCAGAGGAGGTCAGCGGCCAGGGAGGGTGCACCTGAAGCAGTGAGGGGTCGGGGCTGCCCCCCCAGACCCACTTCCCGAGAGATACTCGCTGGAGAGGCCCCCTGATTCCGTCGGGCAGGAGTGAACTCGCGCCCACCTCTTTGGCAAGGGCGCTGGGGAGGCGCCGGGAAGCGGCCAGGCAGGAACTCTGCTGCGGTTACCTCTGCCCAGGGCCGGCCAAGTGCTCCTCGGAGTCTTGAGGGCGGCCAGTCCCCCAAAAGGCGGGGGGCCAGGGGGGGGGCACCGAGGGCGGCGCCCCCGGACCCAGTGTCTCCAGCGGAGACCCAGCGACATCGGGGACAGAAAATGCCTGAAACTCCCACCCTGGCCCCCCACCCACGAAGTCCCAACCCGCGGGAACTAAGCTGAGAAAGGCGCGGCCATCGGGTCTCCAGGTTCACACCCCCCGCCCCCGCCCCGCGCGCCCCAGACCAGCCCCGCTCGTCGCCCGGGTCCCGGCCCCGACCCGGGGACCCGCGCCCCCTCGGCGCCCGCGGCGGGCCGCAGCCGGGTCCCGGTAGTGTTTGTAAACAAACCGATCACGTGGCCCCGGCGGCTCGCTCCCCGCCCCCTGTGCCCGCGGCCCCCCCACCCCGCCCCGGGGCGACCCCCGCGCCGGACCCCACCTCGGCCGCGCAGGCTGGAGGGTGCCGCGCGCGCTCCGAGGGAGCCGGGCCGCCGGGGCCCCGGGGCGAGGTTGGGGGGGGAACGGGGACGGGCGTCCCGCGCCCCAAGCGGGCGCCCCGCGCTGACAGCACGCCCCACGCCCACGCGCGCCACGCTCGCGTCTCACTCACCCGGCAGCCCGCAGCCCCGTCCGGCCCGCGCCGCGCTCGGCTCCGCGGGGATGCGCAGCAGCGAAGGACCGCCCGGCCGGATCCCGGGCCCCGGGCGCGCTCTTAAAGCCACAGCCGCAGCCGCCGCCGCTCCGCATCCCTCCCGGCCCGGCCGGGGGCTGCCGGGTGACGGACGCGCCCCCGCGCCTATCCCCTCGGCGCAGCACATAGCAACACGCCGCGGGTTGGCTGCGCCCGGCCGCAGCCCATCCGCCGCAAGCCAATCAGCGAAGGACGGAACTCCGCCCCCTGCTTCCCCGACCTCCGCCCCCCACCCCCCACCACCCCTTTGGGCCCCGCCGGGCTTGGGTGCGGGGCGCGAGGCGGGCGCCGGGATCTAACCCTGGGGAGGCTGAGTCCGCCGGGCCTGGCGAGGCGGGGAGCGGCTAGCCCGAGGAACGGGGAGGAAGGGTGATGACGATGGAGAGGCTCTCGGCGCCCGGGCGGAGACCGTTTATTTGGGTTTGGAGTTTGTCTCCAGGTCAAGGCTGGGATTTCTAGAACCCGGGGTGGCTGGGGGGGCGGGGGGGGGCGCTTTCTAGTGCTGCTTCTGCTTAGAGGAGCCAAGACAGTAACTCACTCCTTACGCCTTAGCCGCCCCTAACGCAGTCTAAGTTACCTGGAGAGGCTCTCGGGACCCAGGGCAGTTGAATGTAATAAGACAACGCCAGCCCGAGGGCCCCCCCACCCCCCCAGGCCCCACTCAGCAGCAAGGCATTTCCCCTTGTCTCTCTGCTCTCCTTAAACTGGGCGCATTAAATGCAGGATAAGAGGCATTTAAAGGCATTGGAAGACACCTCGCCCCTAATTGCTGCTGGTTTTCTAAGGCTTTTGAAGAGGAACGATTCACCCGGGACACTAGGATGGTCAGTGACCATAGGGGCAGTGCGCCCAGTCTGGGGCAGTGGAGCGGTGCTTTTCACGGAAGAGACGGTTAAAAAATAAGCCCAGGGCTATCAGGAAATCTAGGGAGGCACCAGGTGGGCGGAGTGGGGCAGTCTCCCAGCAAGAAAACAGGTCACTTTGAGAAAGAATGCAGCCAGGGATCAGGGGCAGAGAGCAGTTCAGCCTTTTCATTCGGCCTCTGGGATTCTGCAATTGCTCAGAAAGCAGTAGGAAACCCCAGGTTTCATTTAGAGCCGCTGTCAGAATGTGAGACACTTCGAGAGGTGACGCTGTCTTCAACCCCTTTCCACGCTGGTTTGCGCGAAAATGGAGAATGGTACCTAAGGTAGATCCCTAGGTGGCTCAGACTTCACCACAACTCCAGCCAGCTGTCTTTAAAATCCGTTTGATTCAGTTAATATATTTCTCATTTGGATGTATTCTGATAATATACGTTGCATGGTTGGGTGTGAATCCAGTCCTAATGTTAGTAAAAACAACAAAAAATACCAGAAACGCATCGGCATCTCACATGTGTATCAGTCTCAGTGTAAGCATTTTCAGTGTAAACAAGAGCACCTTGTCACTGTTCACAGTTGATGAAAAGTTTAAAACAAAAAAATTTTAAATACTTATCAGATAAAGAATCTAGAAAGGTTTAGCACTTAATCCTTAATCTGTGAAGAAGTGGTAGATTCTTTAGATTATTGAGATCTTGATTTCTGCCCTAATCTGCCTCTTGGGCAAATTTCTTCCTCTCTCCAGACCTTAGTAGCCGCAGTTTGAAACAAAGAAGATTGAAATAAATTGAAATAGTCTTCTCCAGGCACTAAAATCTAAGCAGGTCCAGAAAGTCAAACTTGTTACAATGTTTCAACAACATCCTAGTGAATGTTTCTGTTGCCGGATCACCACTCCCCAGCAGCAGGCCTTGCATGAGTTTAACACCCTGGAATATTGGTATGTTATGTAACAAGATTGGTGGCTACTGTTTTAAATAAAAGATAATGTTAGCTAAGGAGGACGAGCCTGGTGCGGAGCTTCAGAGGGAGATCTGAGGACCCCTGCAGGCCCGCCGTGTGTATGCCGGGGACTGGAAGAGGCATCCAGACTGCAAGACTAGAAACAATAGAACCAAGCCAGGCAGCCAACAGAAAAAGATGAAATAAGCCTGATCATGCCTCCTCCCTGTCAAAAGAGCGGAGCATTGTGAACTATTCCCAGGAGGAGGTAGAAGTGAAACAAAGTAGCAGAAACAACTTCTCTTCCTCTTTGAAAGCACCTTGAATGGCCTCTCAGAACACATTCACTGGTGGCCAATTCTGAGCAAACTTGCCTGATTGGCTTGAATGGCGGTTTTCCAAAACACCTACCAAAAGAATAGAGTGCTGAGCCTATGGAGACAGTGTGAGAATGGACAGATATCTATCCCATAGAGCAAAGATGAGGTGGAGAAATACAGGGAGAGATGTAAATAAATTCGTTCAGATCACCCCACAGACAGGGTATCAATCAGCTTGCCTCTGTCAGTGGCCCAGGACCCTTGTCTCCTCCGTGTGTGGCTGAATTCATTCATTCCCAAAACTTTCACAGCCATTCTTTTCCAGCATCCGCTCTCTCCAATCCCACATTCCTACTGTTGCCATATTGACATCACTGCTACTGTGAAAAGGTTCACTTTTTTTTTCTTTTGACCATGCCACTCACAGTGGGGGATCTTAGTTACCCACCCAGGGATGACCCCATGCCCCCTGGGTTGGAAGCACAGTCTTAACCATTGGGCCACCAGGGAAGTCTCAAAGGTCACTTGTATATGCTTATGGTGGGCTTCCCTAGTGGCTTAGCTGGTAAAGAATCTGCCTGCAATGCAGGAGACCTGGGTTCCATCCCTGGGTTGGGAAGATCCCCTGGCGAAGGGAAAGGCTACTCACTCCAGTATTCTGGCCTGGAGAATTCCATGGACAGAAGAGCCTGGCAAGCTGTAGTCTATGGATCACAAAGAGTCGGACACGACCAAAACTTTCGCACTTTCTTCCTTTCCCTCACCCCCACAGCCGTGCATCAGTGGGTCCTGTCAGCTCTACGTCAAGAATGCATATTCTATTTCTTCTGAGCATGTCTGTCTCCACTGCCCGCTCCCTGGTCAGAGCCACAGCATCTCTTGCCTAGAGTAAGCCACAGCCTCCCAGCTGATCTCCCTGCTTCCAGTCCATTCTCTCCGCAGCAGCCGGATGGTACTTCCTCAAAACAAACCCCTTACGATGGTCACAAGGCCCTGCTAAGCAGGCCAGCCCACCTCTCTGGGCTTTCCCCTTTGCTCACACTGCTCCCGAGGAGCTGGCCACCTTTCTGTTCCTTAAATACACTGGGCCTAGTCGTCATCATCTACTTTTTTTTTTTTTTAATTTTATTTATTTATTTACTTTTTGGCTGTTCCACTCAGCTTGCAAGATCTTAGCCCCCACCTCCCCAGGAATCACACCCAGGGCCCTGACAATGAAAGTGGGAGTCCTAACAAGGGGTCCACACCGAGCCTAGTCTCGTTACCGAGTCAGTGCTTGCTCTTCCCTCCACCTGAAGTGCTAGAAGGCTGCCTCTCACCACTTGATTCTTAGGTCTAATACTTCCTTCTTAGAGGCCCCTCAGTCGTTGCATGCTCCCCCTTCCAAGGTAGTCTCTATTCTACCTACCTCCAGCTTTGCATAACACGTCTCTCTCTGAAATTACCTTGTTTATTTGTTTTCTCTCTCATCCAGCTCTAAAGTATAAACTCCATAATCGAGTCAGGGACATCACCATCCTTCCTGTTGTCTCCCCAGTGCCTGGAAGAGCGCCTGGCACACGACCAATACTTGTGGAATAAATAACTGAACAAATGAATGAACATGCTCCCCAACTCCCACCCCCCACCACAGCCCCTGCAGTTTGTTTCACTTAGCTTCATGCCCCTCCCCTCTCTGCTCCTTGCTCATCCTATCTCAAAGCCTTTCACTCGAGGACTCAGTCCGAAGATCAAATGTCACTTCTTTGGAGGAGTTTCCCCTATTCTGTCTCTTCCCGGTGCCCCCCACAGCAGTGTATTCATAACTCTATCACACCACTCCACACTTTGCACTCCCTGTTAAGAGATCTCAGTTATCCATTCCCTCTGCCAGTCCCTCCTGGGCTGGAACCTTATCAGATCATCTTTATATTTTCAGCACCTGGCACGTGACAGGCCTTCCGTCCAGGTTTATATCTGAGCTGAAACCAGTCGGGATCCAAGCAGGAATGGATAAGCTCTGTCTTCAGAGTCCACTGATCAATTATAGCGGTCTGACCTGATGGTGTGACCACATTAACCTGAAACTTCAGGATATTCCGTCATGAAAGGAGCTGCCTACATTTTAAAATCACAGCACAATGGAAACTTCATGAACTCTAAAGGCTACAGGCTGTCACACTACCACACCACCTAGGAAAACAGCCAGGGTGGGGAGGGGGCACTCTCCTCCCAGGCTGCACTGTACCCCATCCTGCCATCTTCCCCAACATGGAAAGTCCCATGACGTTACATCACAGAGGAGGGTCTGGTGCCATCTTCCTGCAGACACATCATGGCAACAGTGCTTTGTTTCTGGACGTACAATAGATGCTTTCTCTGATCCTTGTCCAAGCCCCTCACTTTCAGTCGTGAAAGTGGCTGATTATGTGCTTTTCAGACTGTAAGTGGGTGAGGGTTATGCGTCAGCCCTCCTGAACACACGCCGAACAAAACAGCCGCTCTCATTGAGCACGTGTTGTGGACAGAGCAGTTTCTATTCTATCTCGTTATATTTAATCCTCAAAGCAACCTGCAAGATAGGTATTTTCCTCCATTTTCTTTTCTTTTCTTTTTTTTTTAATAGAAGCTGATCCTATGGAATTAAGAACCCTGATCTATCTGGCTTCAAAGCCCATTCATTCGTTCTTCTACACCATCAAAGAGGACAAAGTCTTCGCTCCTCTTCTCTTCAAATATTCCAGTCACTTTGACAAGGAAACTCATCCAAACATCAGATTACCCTCACAAAGCAAAACTCAAAGGGTCCAGAAGCAAGAGCTGTAAGGATTTAGAACTTCCATCTTAAATGCAACATCTGATGCAGACACTTCCCACGCATTTTAATCCAATCTTCACAATAACCTTACGAGGAAGATAAC